GAAAGATAAGGAGCAGAGTTTTAATGCATACAAAACAGCTATACAGAATCGACACTATGGAGAAACTAATTACAAGAAGTTAAGCAAAACAGAATATCAAGGCTTAAAGAACACAAGAATCCGAACTCAGAAACGGTAAAGGAAGATACAAAAGGGTAAAGAGAACTTCCCAATCTTCACAAGGTACCAAGGAAACGTTGTTCCTTCAAGAACACACAAGCTTCACAAGCCAAGCTTCACCGTTCTTCCTTGCAGATTTCACTCTTCACCAGTTTGTACCCCAAACAGAAAACTCCACCGATCAATTGAACCGCCTTGTCGAGATGAACAAGGTTCTCCAAAGTAGCATAGACAGATTCACAAAGATTCACTCAGTGTTTGCACAAAACACTCACGCTCACAAACCCTAGCAGAGAGCATTTTCCTTTTCGAGAGAGAGAGCCAAAATATCAGAATGAGTGAGTCACACAAAGCTGCGGCCAAAAGGGAACAAGGATACACTTAAGCCATCACACAAAACGCTGCGTTTTAGTGTGTTGCTTAGTGTATAAGAGATCCAACCTCAGCTGAGTGTAAATCACAATAGGCCTCACACATTCACATTTGGCCCACAGTCACAAAGTAACCAATAGACAAAACAGGATTGGCCCAATGAAAGATTAGTGAGGTGAACACTGAGTTACTTTTGTTTAGGAAATAACATATGACTATATACAACAGAGATCAATTTAATAAAATTGTTCTAAAATTACAAAACAAATCAGTCCAATACAAAGGCCAAATACTAAAGGGAGAGTTTGAAAAAACACAAAAATTATTCTCAACAAGATAGTCTATATTTAAAAAGTCAATCTGCACAATTATTTTTTCCTCTAAAAACATGAACCAGGTGACCATTCAACGTGTATCTTTATTTAAGAATAGTCATGCCTCTTCAACGTGTATTTATGACCATTCATCTCTTGTGATATTAGTGTTTAGAATTTGTTTTTCTTCATTACTTATCGAAACTCTATCAAAATTAATTATCACATATTGACTTTATCTGCGATTGATCAAGTGTTTATTATGTCCGATGATGTTATTTCTTTTGGTTGTATGATTGTATCATCGTCAAAATAAAAATAATTTATTCTATCCTATGAGCCATTTGTCCACAAACCTTAAAATCAGTTAAGAGATCAAAATTGCTTTAAGGACAGAATATTTAATATTGGATTTGGATTTAATTTTTTGCAATTTTTATGCATTGCATATTACTTCCTAATTTCTCATGATTGCATTTTATTCAAAGTGTGTTTGTTTTCGCTGTTGTCCAACAACACATATATTTATACTACCACCAACAACATGTATATGATATTTGGGAAATAATAGTCTTATGTTGCATAAGACAGTTATCTTATGTCATATACTCATAGAATTTCGTGCTAATTTTTTCTTTTCTTTTTCTTTTTAACTTATGGATCCCACATATTTGTGTTATCCATATGAGAGTGCTATCTCATATAACATGAGATTAGTAAACCCCATGATATTTCTATGAAAAATATATTTATCATATTACATGAGATTATTTATCTCATTTAACATATAAAAGAGATAAATAGAATCCACCAAAAAGAAAAGAAAAAGAAAAAAAGAAAGGAAAACTTCAAAAAAAACCCTGTTATTTTCCTCATAATCACTTACCCCCTCATAAAAATTTGAATCATTTATCCCCCGACTTAAAGTTTTTTAAACATTTACTCCCTAAGTGAGGGAGGTAAGTGATAAAGAAACTTTAAGTCAGAAGGGCAAATGATAAAAAAAATCTAAATAAGGATGTAAGTGATTCAAAAAATTTATATGGGGAGTAAGTGATAATTAAGAAAACTCATAGTGGGAATTTTGAAGTTTTCCCAAAAAAGGATGGGTAAAGGATTTCTCCAGTCAATGGAGATAAGTTATCTCCAGTGAGCCCAAAATGACGTGATTTTGGGGCAAAAGTCAATGTGTTTTTGTAATTATAATATTGCAAGGTTATTTTAGTTTTACCATTATAATTTTTTAATCTTATAACTCTAAAACGACGTCATTTTGAGCTCACTGGAGATAATTTTATCTCATAAATACATTTTCCAAAATCAATTTTATTTACTTTTTGTGTGTTGTCTATTTCCATTATTGTATATTTTTAAAATTTTACAATTATGAATGTGTCTTAAAATATGAAATTAAATTTTTTTTTTAAAAAAAAATATATTTATCAATACCGGAGCACAAATCAAGTAATTCCAATTTTTAAGGATTATCTTTTTCATTTTCTTTTGTTGGTATCTTCTTACTTTTGCTTTCATGTTCATTTTATGTGACTGACGGTGCATATTACGTTCTCAGTAAATTTTGTTTTGGATTTGTGATTAGGAGACATTGTCTGTATTTTTCAGAAAATCATAAACAATGTCAATCGTTGAAGTTTTTTGTTTCATAATTAAATATATAAAGATAATTGAAAAAAGGGAGTTGCTAATATCATGTTATCGGAGATAGTGCTTTAATATGAGTGAAACAAATAAGTGGGATCCATAATTAAAAAAAAAAAGCATAAAATTTTATAAATGTATAACATAGAATAGCTTTCTTATGCAATGTGGACTATTATTTCCCTTGAAAAAATTGAGCCGTCTAAATGAAAATTGCGTTAAACCGTAGACGATCAATATTCTTTGTGATTATGAATTATATTGTGTCGTGTCAATAACCTGTTCGGAGTTCCCACGTTGGCGCTACAGTTATGCGAAAACCCTAAATCAAATATTGCAATTGCAAAAGCAGCGTCACCGACACAACACGACAATTGTAGTGGCATTTTCTGCTGTTAATCCGGTAGAGCATGGGTCATACTCGTATATAGCCGTTCTTTTACTTTTTTCTGGATCATTTTACTATATTACTAGTTCCGACATATAATAATTGATTATCCGTAAAAAAACAAACTACAATATTTTTTAAATATAAGTATAAATTATGGAAATTGATTCTTACGCATGTTATTTAGTTTGATCATATACGTGGGAAATTAGGGGTTTGTATTTACCATGTCATATGACAAAAAAAGTTTTTTACACACACAATATTTTGTGGGGTCCACATATTTTAAAGCAAAAAAAAAAAAAGCACGCAAAACGAATCTCTATAACATTATACAATCACTTTTTTTACAACATAACTCTTATAAAACCATAATTATTAATAGTCAAATGAATAGTGACTGGAAATTAAATTGATTTACTCATAAATAATTAAAATCCTTACATAACAGATCACATTAATTAACACTAGAGGATCACTTCAATCAATCACACTAAAAAATTGTGACATTCTTAAGTGTAAGTGTAAGGTCATATTTATCTTCTGCAAATCATCATTGTGACATGCAAAATCGTTGGCAGCATAAATATTCTGGTTTGATTGTGTTATACTTTTTTTATTTGCGAATGATTATATTTATCATCAGCTAAATTTATTATCTTTACAAATAATTTAATCACTGCTAAATTTAAATTAAATCTAACAGTAATTAATTATTTTTTATAATCTTGATTTTTTCTCTCACATCCCCGCTCCGTTTGCTTCTCTCTGTAGATTTGGAAGGTTTAATCATTAATGGCAACAAAAATGATTCAAATACTTGGGCAACATAATATCTAAACCGAGAATGTCCATAAGAAGATTAAGAATATACTGCAATTGCCTAGATTTATCAAAGACAACGAAAATTCGTTCGTTAATCTTATTAAAAAATATATTTTTTTATTACTCAGTTGGCTGATCTAGAGGAGTCTTCTACTCAGATCTGGGCTGCTGCACCTGATTAGTTTATTTCTTCTTGCTGTTTTGTTTTTACTTTGTTGTTTTTGGGGCATCACCCCTTTTGTTTACCCAAAACAAAATTAGAGAGAGACAAAGAGAGGATGAAAATCTAGAAAGAGAAAGGCAGACAGACAGAGAGAGGATGTGAGATAAAAAATTAGGATTATAAGGGGTAATTAATCCCTATTAAATTTAATTCTAATCTAATGGTTATTAGATTGGTTGTAAGGATAGTAAATTTAGCTGATAGTGAGTATAACTCTTCCTTTTTTTATTTTTAAAATTATTTTGTAAAACAGTGAATGAAAAATATGTTTTTTTATTTTAGAAATTAAACATCAAAATACAAAATAAAAACAACCGAAATATGAGGTCTATTTCTGTTTTCAAAACAGTTTTGTAATTTTTAAAATAAAAAACTGTTTGATAATATCTCTTTTATTAAAAAAATTCAAAAACTTATAGTTACTTTTTATTTTAAAAATTAAAAAACTGTTTTAAGAAACAGAAAAATATCTCCGCTTCCTCCCTTCTCTTATTTCTGTTGTTTGATAATATCTCTTATTTTGTTTTTTTAAATTCACTCAATCCTAATTAATTTTTTGAGGCGGGTTGGCTCCTCTCGTTATTCCTATAAACTTCAATTCCTTGAATCGATCATGAGATTAATCAGAGTAGTATGAGTCAGAAATAAAAATATTTAAACCTCTTCTAAAAATAATATGTGAAAATCAAATCAAAACTTTTTTTTTTTTTCCACTTACATTCCCTTGCCACCAATCATTTGGTGTAAACACATATTTTTGATTTAGCACTCGTATGATTAAGTGTATTACAAATTTTTTTAATGATATATTTAGTTAAAAAATATTGTTTTTTTTTTTAAAGAAAAAGAAAGAAAGAAAAAAGCAGGTCCTTAAAGAGTGTGATTGGCCAAACATCACTCGTCCACACCCCAATCATTCTCCGTTTCTCTCTTTACCTTTCGCTTAACAGTCCAACACATAGTTACTTCTCAACTACTCAACAACAGTCCTGAATGCTGTAACCTTATACTAGCTCGCAACTACTTTCTTTTTCTGGGTCTCTTTTTCTCTCTCATCACAAAACTCTCCCCTCAGCGTTGAGTTCTTCTTGGACAAAATAGGGACACAACCCTTAAATCTCTAATGGCTAGTACCATCAAGTACGTTCCTATTGGTGGTGGTGGTGGGAACCTTGTCACCGACCTCAAGAGCCTCTTCACCATTCTCAAAACCAGAAAAAGGGTAGCTCTTGGATATGCTTTTATGCTTGTCTTCGTTGCTTTCACTGTTTTCTTAGCCTTCTCCCCTTCTCCAAACGCTTCCTCTCCTTGGTTCACCAACATATTCTCCTCCACTTCCACTACCAATATAACAACATCTGGTTCATACAATTCTCAACTCTCTTCCGTTTACTCATTCTTTTTCCCCAACACTACTTCATCCCCTAATCTTGCTTTTTCTTCTGATGATCCCCTTCAGATCAACACTTCTAGATCTAGCAATGCCACTTCTCAATCTCCTAATCCCAACACAAGTACAGAAACATTCAAATCAACCTCTGTAGAAAACCGAACATCCCAAGATGCAGTTCCTGTTCCAAGCACAAACCAGACCTCAAATTCTCATGCGGCAAATTTGCAGGTGAAGTCTCCACCCCATGTAAATAAGGAAGCATCGGGTGTCAAAAATCATACTTTAAAGCCTGGTGAAGCTAAAGCTGTGAACACAAATCGAAATACAAATGTTGCTGCTCCTCCTGCAACCAATGTTTCACTGGGCCCTCACCAGAACTTGAGTTCTAATTCTTCAGTGAAGGGTGTTGTATCAAATAATTATACGGCTTCCCTGGTGAGGAAACAGAGCAATGGGAAGAACAATCATACAAGGGAGAAGGATGAATTGATGGAGTCTTTGATGAAGTGTGATTTTTTTAATGGAGAATGGGTTAAGGATGATTCCTATCCTCTCTATGAACCAGGTTCTTGCACTATGATCGATGAACAGTTCAACTGTATTCGGAATGGAAGGCCCGATAAAGACTATCAGAAATATAAGTGGAAGCCCAAGGGATGCAGCCTCCCAAGGTATGGTAATCTGACAATTTTTTTTGGGTTAAACGGTATTTATATGGGTTCTCTTATTCAATAGGTGATTTGGTAGTTAGTTTTAGATATTAAGCTTTCTATTGGATGATTGTGTTGGTTCAAATTCAACAAGATTTTTAGACTTTGTGTTGGTGTTTTACTTGCCAAATGATGTACTTTGCTTTAAAAGTTGCTCTTTTGTATTTTAGTAGAATTGATCCATTTGTCAGTTCTTTTGGGGTCCCTATTTTGGTGAATTGCTAATATGTGTTCATGCAATTTGTTGGATTACAAATAGATTGGATGGCCATCGAATGCTGGATTTGTTGAGAGGCAAGCGACTGGTTTTTGTTGGCGATTCCCTCAATAGGAATATGTGGGAATCTGTCATTTGCATACTGACAAATGCTGCGAAAGATAAAAGCAAAGTTTATGAAGCAAATGGCAGAGTCCATTTCAGAGGCGAAGCCTCTTATTCATTCATATTCAAAGTAAGTATTGAATTCTTCCGTGTTTTCATATTCTTTCCCTCATGGTGTTGATTTGGTATTCATTCTATTCTTTCCCTCATGGTGTTAATTTGGTATCAATGGCCCCGTAGGATTATAACTTCTCTGTGGAGCTTTTCGTATCCCCATTCTTAGTTCAAGAGTGGGAAATGCCTGATAAGAACGGTACCAAGAAGGAAACACTTCGTCTTGATTTAGTTGGTAGAGCTTCGGATCAATATAAAGATGCAGATATTGTTGTCTTCAACACTGGCCACTGGTGGACTCATGATAAAACTTCTAGAGGGTAAAAAAATTACAACTTCCCTTTCGGTGTGATTTAAATTGAGGCTAATTTTCTGTTTATCATTATCTACATGTCTACTTATTCATAACTGTTTTTTTAAATTCCAAGAAACTAAATTGCCTGTGACAATTTCCAGAAAGGACTATTACCAAGAAGGTAGCCATGTCTATGATGAATTAAATGTTCTTGAGGCATTCCGAAGAGCTATAACAACTTGGAGCAGGTGGATTGATGCCAACATAAATCCATCCAAGTCCATGGTCCTGTTTAGAGGCTATTCTGCTTCCCATTTCAGGTAAAGTACCAACGAATTGGTGATTTTTATACTTATTTTGGTCTCACAATACTTCAGGTTTCATTTTTCATTACTCACAAGTTGAGAATATAATTCTTGAGTGCACATTAGACCATGGAACTAGAAGACTAACTGATCACAGAAACTTTTATGTTTCTATCATACTGCAGTGGTGGGCAATGGAATTCGGGTGGACAATGTGACAGTGAAACTGTGCCTATTGATAACGAGAAGTACCTAACAGAGTACCCGCCTAAGATGAGGGTTTTGGAAAAGGTTTTGAAGTATATGAAAACACATGTGACATACCTGAATATTACTAGAATGACAGATTTCAGAAAGGATGGTCATCCCTCGATATACAGGAAGCAAAACCTATCACCTGAGGAAAGGAAATCACCATTGAGATACCAAGACTGTAGTCATTGGTGCCTTCCTGGTGTTCCTGATGCGTGGAATGAGATTCTCTATGCTGAACTTCTTTTAAGAGAGTATCGGAATCAACATCAGCAGAAGAGAGCATAGGTAATAAACTACCAAACTTCTGTTCTGCCTCAACTTATATTCAATGAGTTAAGCTAAAGCAGAAACTGATGCAATATATACCATCTTTGTCCCATCCATATCCAGGATTGGGAAAGGAATTAAAGAAACCATACACAAAATGCCTTTTCAATTTTTTAAAGGTTCAAATATTTATGTTAAGTTAAACAATATAGTTAAGAGATACGAATACCTTGAAACTGAGCAATAAATTTGTTCATATGAATGGCATAAGTTGGTGAGGAGAGCTGGAGAGGAGAGAAGGTAATGTGTGGTTTAGTTTGTCATTGTAAATCATCCCTTCCCCTTGGATCTTCATTTTCTTTCTAGCCTGAAAGGCTGATGTAAATCTCTAGACGACTCTAATCAATTAAGGTTTTGTTTAATGTAATCAAATTATTGACGTGAACTGTTCCAGGACCCTTCTTCCTTTAATCTATCTGACTGGCTGTTGATTTATAGTCTATCTTTCTTTCTTTCTTTTAAGAAAACTGAACCGGGTGATGTCAAGCATAAAATCAGCAAATGTAGTAGTAGGATTTTTCTAGCTGTTCCACCTGATATGTGCAGTGCAATGAATCATCCCACGTGGGATTCATGTGCTGCACCGATATGTGGGCTTTTGTTCCTTTTCGAAGCTAGATACTATGTAACTTGGTGATGAAGGTCTCTGTTGCTTTAGACAAAAATTTTTTTTTTTTTTTTTGATATCAAGACAAAAATATTTTATATAGTGAGTTGGTGAACTTTTTTCTTCCTAGTCACATGAAAGCCTGACTATTACAAGTCAAGAATGCATCATCATAGTTTTTATTTTTTCTTTTTTTCATTTATAGGGAAAAGAATGTCCAATAGTGAATAGTCCAAGGCTCTAGAAGGGAGAGATGTTTGGAAAGGGAAAGGGAGAGGGAGAGCAAAGAGGGATAAATTTTTCGTTTTAACCAAATATTCTCTAATTTAAGAATGTTTTAAAATAAAAAGGATAATCCCTCATACATTTTTATAATATGATATGGGGATGGGGTATTGTGTTTTTTTTTATGCTTATTTTATCTACTTTTCTCTGATATTGTTAGATCACAATCTTAACTGATTTTCATCTTTTCTCTCTTCTTCCATTGTTAGTTGAGATTATAATTTAACAATGTTGGAGAAAAATAGGCATAAAAAAATAAGTCTAATATTTTATCATTATAATATAGGGATAGTATATTGTGTCTAATTTTTTAATGTGTATTTTACGTATTCATCTTCAATATTGTTATATCATTATCTCAATTAACTTTTATTCATTCTCTTTCTTTTTAAGATTATGATATAACAGTGCTGGAAATTAGTAGATAAAATAGGCATGAAAAAAGATAGGTATAATATCCTAGGAAAATATTAGTCTTATGTCACATAAGATAATTGTCTTATGTTGCAAACTCATGGAATCTTGTGCTTATTATTATTTTTTTTTGAATTGTGGGTTCCATAATTTTGTTTCACCAACATATCTTATGTGATATAAGATTAATTACTCTCAATATCCTATCCCTATAATATAATGCAAAAATGAAAACCTCATCCCCCCCCCACCCCAAAATCCTTAACTAAACTGAACAATGCGAAGATTAATAAACAATAAGATCTTAGAACGTGTTATTTTTTCTGTGGTTTGGAGTGTGGATATAGTAGGCTCTGGGAGCCATGTAAACGACTTAGTGTTCAAACTTAGTTTAAACGGGCCGAACTAAAAGGCAGAATCTCCCAACCCTATAATAAAAAAATTTAACTTGGGTCAGCCCGTTCAAAATAAGTTTGTTACAGGAAGGATCGGGATTTGTCAACCATATACAAATGGCAATCAACCCAATCATGACAGTTCCAATTATTAAACACGGGGCAGATTGTTGTTGCGTTTTATATGTCCTCAATTGATCACTTGCAAGGATGTGATTCAATTCAAGTCTAAATTTGAGTTCGGCTATTGTAAATTTTATATTGTTACAGCTTTTAGTATGCATGAAAACGTTTATGCAGAGGAATATTAGCAAAATAAATAAGTATTTATTCCACATAAAGAAGACATGACTATGCCCTATGAGGTTATATATATATATATATGGAAAAACATTTGTCAAGTAGCTTGAGATAAGTTTATTTTCCGTTATCTCAAAATTACATCGTTTTATTTATTTATTTTCTTATAATAATTTATTCATCTTTGAATGGTTATAATTTTCTTTTTCTGTCTCTTTCTTTATCATCATTGATCCATCTTTGTACGATTATGATTTACTAGCCGGAGATAAAATTATCTCAAGCAGCTTGAGAAACGATAAGCGCATATATATATATATATATATATATATATATATATATATATATATATATATATATATATATATATATATATATCAACCGGCATAAGATGGCTTTAATAATTTTCTATTTTCATGCATTTTGTTGAATATATTAAAAACTTTAAAATCAAAATAGCATAATAAAATTGTCCTCAATGTATTAAAATTTAATATATTTTCTTTATAGTATAGAGTTTAATTTATTTTGTTGATATTAAAATATTTTTTTCTTTCTAGAAGCTTTACCTTTAAATATAACTTCTAGGTTTTTTTTTTTAGAAAAAAATATTGAATCTTTTTAATGTGAATTTAATCTGTGATATTTTATAAAATAAATTGTATATCGTAAAGAGTGAAATTATAAGTGAATTCTTTTAAAATTATTATTTATTTATAACATGTGCACAATATAAAATTAACATTTCTTAAAATATTTCTTGAAGTCATCGGTTGCTTTTTATTTTTTATTTTTATCACATATTGTAACTAATGTGAGAAGTTCAAAAACCGCAATCTATTAAATTGGTGTTTGTAAAAGTTAAGGGTAAAGAATTTAGAAAATCTTACTATAAAAACTTGTATTGAAAACACATCACTAAAAGTACATTAAGGTAAACTGGTAACCAAAAAGGAAATTTTACAATCGTACTAATTTTTTTTTCTCCAATGTAAATTTACTATAAATGTTGCAGCGGTGCAATTCCAAAAAAAAAAAAAAAAAAAAAAAAAAAAAAAAAAAAGGAAGAGTAGTTTAGGGTTGAAAATTGGCATCTGAACTTGTAGCCTTCGAAAATAGCGACATGAGATTTGTTAGCCCAATTTTGGTAAATTTGACGGATTATCTTTTACCTGGTTTAGACGAAATTTCTAACGTCAATGATGAGTTGGTCAACTCTTGATGAGAATCGAGGAGGATATTGTTGATTTAGGGTACAGTTTAGATTTTGGTAAACTTAATGTCGAAAAAATAGATGCTACCAAAAAATTAACTTGTTGTTGGGAAAGATATTTTAAGAGTAAACTTTGAAGAAGAAAAAAAATAGTTGAGATGATAAAGTAAAATCAATCTTGAAGTACAAAATTTTATACATTTTATAAACTTTCATGAATCTCACACCTAGAATCAATTGCACTCGCTGAAAAATTTAAGTTTTTTGTTTTTCTCAAAATGAATTTCACTCACCACAAAATTAACCAAACAACACTAAGTTACTATGATGACGACTTCCCTTTTGTTGAGAAAACAATCAAATGGTTTTTACGTTTGGAGTCTCTTTTGATGAAAATACACAAATGATCTTGACTCTTGACTTTTGACTTTTGTGGGATCGGAACTCTGACTTAAATGATCTTTTATTTGAATTCAAATTCTCACTTAGCAAAGCTAGTACCAATCATTAAATTTTTTAATTGTGAACTATGCACCAAAAAAAGTGTCAACCAAACAATAATATTTTTTATTTTCTTAAAAAAAAAATAGATAATGATTCCCGTTTAAATTTTCATCCCTCAAATTTGAGTCCAAGACAAAAAATTATATATATATTTATTTTTCTTAATTTTAGTTAGTTCATATCATAATATATTTAAATTATATTAAATATAGAGCACTTGAGTAGGCAGCACTAAGAAGAATTATAATTTTATTAAATATTTTATATTCAAGTGCAAATTGAACACATAACCTAATACAACTTACCTAAATCTTTCACAAAAAAATATTTTAAAGACCACACCCAAACTATATTTGGCTCCGCTGCTCCAATTGATTTTACCATCATTATTTTGAGATCGAGCTAGACCTTAGGCCTTAATTACCACTTTTAACGGTTCTCTTCCAAGAACCTTGAAAACGACTGGTAAAAAAATAAAATAATATATGAATGTTCTATTTTTTAAAAAAAGTTATAAAATAATCAAAAAAAAAATCTTCGAAATTCATTTTACTCATTTTTATACAGAAAAGTAACAAGATTACTTTCACCTACTCAACAATCTTTTTTACCAGTCACCCTTGAATCACTGGAGCCTTAAAAAACTATGTCAAATTTGTGTTGCTGCACAGCATACCAATTCTCTTGTATTGGAAAAGTAATTTTAAGTCATTGCACACATTTTTTTTTTTTGTTGTGGGTTCGGCCAACCATAGGAAAAACGTTATTAAGGAATAGTTAGTTATTTAAAAATAGTAAATGATTAGACTGTGTATAAGAAAATTATTATATTTTTAATAGTTAATTAATAACTTTTTTTTTAATAACTTTTTTTTTTTTTAATAATAATCGATCAAGACATATTAGGGCATCATTAGTAGAGCAAGTTACCCACCTAAAAAAATTGAAGGAATATCATTCAAGCTAATGAAATTACTGTATAATATTTCGAAAATATGCAAACAACACAGGACGTTAAAAAATAAAAAAACAAGGCATTTACCACGATAAGATAAAAAAAAAAATAAGGGTTTCATTTCATTTCACGTTTCCACTGACAAAATCTTTGGTACTACCTCAGCGATCTCAACAAAAAGGATCATTCTTCCGACGAAAGGCAAAAGAAGCTAACAAACAAAACAAAAGAATGAACAAAGACTAACTAAGCAAAAATTTAAGGAAAGGAAACTTATATATACAAAAGGGAAAATAAAAAGTGAAAGGTGGACTTTGGACTTTCTTTGTCCGCTTTGATATTATAGTAAAAGACGAAAAATGATCAATTATAGTTCAAGAAGCAATCTGATGGGCCTTCTGGGCCTGTTGAGGCTGGGCTTGACCATTAAGTAATGGCAATGTTTTGGGCTTGCCAAGAGATAACGCGGCAGAGACTTGAGAAACATTATTATTATTATTATTATTGGTGGCGGAAGCAGCGGCGGTTCCGTTGGTGTTGGTGGCGACCCGTTCACAAGAGGGACACATGGTGAGTGTGGTAGCTGGAAGCTGCATATAGAATGGTTGAGAAGTTTTCAAAGCCCTCAGTTCTTGAAGTTCCTTCTGCAACCTCCTATTCTCTTCTGTCAGAGTCTCACAGCATCTCTTTAAATACTCACAATCCACCTCCGTTTGCTTCAACTTTGTCCTGTAATTGATTTTTTGTTTTTTAAACATTTTTGTTTTGCTCATAATACATGACTCTAATGAAAAAGATAAGGTGAAAGGGTAAAGTAGTAATATTCTTCTTCTTTACCTTGCCCTTCTGTTCTGAAACCAGACTTCTACTTGACGAGGACGAAGATTTAACTGTTTTGCAAGAGCAAGTTTCTGCTTCTGCGGATTATGGTAATAAAGAAGAACAAAAGATATTAATTAAAGTTAATAAAAAAAATTAAGAGGAAAAAAGAAATAGATCGATGTTGTTGTTGTTGTTGTTGTTGTTGTTTACAGGATTGAGAGTGGTGTGTTCTTTGAAGCTTTCTTCGAGAAAAGCTGATTGTTCCTTAGAGAGTCTGAGTTTCTTTCGTGTTGAGCCATTTTCTTCTTCATCACTAGTTTTGTCAGCACCTTCACCCTCGTTCTCTCTTCTGGTTCTGATACAGAAATCCATTTGAAAAGATGACACGCTGTTTGGGGATGAAAGTGCAGCACTGTCGTCGGTGTCCACCGCCTGCAACGGTAACCGGTTCACATCAAACGCCCTCGTCGGTTCCTCTGATGTTACGCGTTCCATACCAACTGCCATGAACAACAGAACAAGTATATATAATGAAACCAATAACCAAAGGCCAAAATCAATATGGTGTTAGGTGAAGGAAAGATAAATAAATAGAAAGTTGGGTATTTAATTACGTGCATCGTTGAGCCATGGAATTCGAAGATGTGAAGAAGGATGGGATCGATGAACCGGTGTTGAAGGAAGAAGTTCGAGCTGAACCGGTGGATCTGAGGAAACCCTTCTTTCGTTCGAGGATTTTCCAGCTAAAGTACCAGCTCCTCCTAGTGCTATGCTTAAACAAACAGAATCTTTGTTGGGTAATTTTGTAGTGTTGTCAAGCAAAGAGAAGTGCTTTGGTGCATCGCCTAAACTCAGAGCCAGCTCCATCTTTGAACTCTAATTGGAAAAGAGAGAACGGTTGTTGTGGTATACCAAAAGAAATGAAGGTTTTAAGAGAGGTGTAGACTCACTAGACTCTGTGTTTTTCAATGTCAATGGTAATAAACCAAACCGAGGAAAGTCACAAACTGTAAAAGGCACAGACCAGAGTGCACATTTGCTGCAATTATGAAAAACCCTCCACCCTACAACAACGCTCCCTATTACTACTATACAAATATACAATACTACTACTACTACTTACCTTTTTATTTCTTCCATTTCTTAGAGTAAAAACATTGACCGACAAATCCATGTTGACAAACGCACGTGAATCTATTAAATATACAGAAAAATAAAAGTAAAATGTAATAGCCTGATAGTCTGATACATTTCGCTAGTAATAATCAGCGTTACCATATCCCATTCCATTCTCCACTACTTGAGAAAGTCATATGCTGTGTATAATATTAATACATTCTTTTTTATTTGAATTAGAGATACATTTATGCTGCGTATAAATACACGCGCAGGAAAAGTGCTATAGAGTTTCTATGTAATGAGGGAGCCTCTAGTTGTACAGTAATCAATGCGTTTCGTGGTTACTCACCCAAATGACAACAATTTATGAGGTTTCACAGAACAAACTCCAAAGAGCGTCATGATGACAAAGGAGAAAATGATATATCATATCTGCTAGACATGCCTGGGATCTTAACCTGTGCTACACTTGTCTTATTTATTAGCGAGTATATATATATATACGGGTCCAGCTGCCCTCTCATCCATAAATAAAACCCTCTGATAATCATGATCATTGCCATTTCCATCATGCATGATAAATGACAATAAGGTCAAAATATTTTTAATTATTAAATTATTGGAAATTTAACTGTTGTGCAGTAAGACCATGTGTTATGGGTAATACATAGTTGTAATTTTAAAAGATTTTTTTTTCTCTTCATAAAATTGTTGGCTGAAATAGTGAAAAGAGAAAAAATAACTTTAATATTATAATTATTTATTACCTATGTTATAATTGATTGCTATACAAAATTTCTTCGGCACAGAAAACAAAAGTTGAGGATCTTAAATTATTATATATTGTTAATTTTTTTTTTTATGAATATTTAAGGGCTGTTAATTTACAGTTCGTATAGGTTCTAGTCTTCTAGAAATGAAAGTCAAATCCTATCCTTTAACTTTTGGTGATGAAAGTAATGAGCAAGTGCCGTGTTACGTGCTTGTGTATGTATTTGTTTTTCAATGACATTTGTCATGCCGTTCCGTCTGAATATGATTTGGCCATTCCGATGAGTTAAACTTAAGCCTAATAAAAGCTTTTGCTGTTTCCAATTTAAAAAGTAGAAATGAAATGACTTATGACTGTGGTAGCTTCCAGCCACCCTCTACATACTTTAATATTACTAGAAGCTTCTTTGTTTTCTATTTTAAATTCAACAATAATTATAAAAAAAATTATTCGAAATATAATTTAATTACGAACAGAAAACCAAACACAATATAGTTTAGCTCGAGTGGTTCTCCCATTGCCACAACAGGTATTCTTCAAAGCTACGGCTATCAATCAATGTCTGCTAAAACACGTTAATGATATAACGATAACTAATAAGAGAAGTATGAGAAAGAATATATATATTACGATTTCTTTTAGAAACAAGCGTGATATGAACATATAGAAAAAAATATATTGTGGGAAAAGGATGGGTCAGATGATTAGCACGAAATATTAATTTAACCATAGTACTATTATTATAATGTTTTATTACATAGACAAGGCGACCAACTTTCACTATTCCCAGAAAAGCTTCTCCTTTCAAATTTGTTTTGCGCTGATTTAAGGAAAGGTTGTTTTGTATTTTTTGAAGCATTAGGAACCTCAAAGCACACTGGTCATGGACATATATATAGCTTATGTGTAAATAAATGGATGGGTATCCAATGAGTAGAACCCACAAAATAGGATGGGGCCGGGGCCGGTGGGGGACCACACGCGCGGTATAGCTTTAGAAAGAAGAGGTAATTAATTAAAGATTTTATAAGAGTTACATGATAAAAAAAAGTGAAGTGGTAATGTTATCCGTGCTTTAGGTTTTATTTTAATTTTTGCTTCAAAACATGTGGGACTCACAAGATATTGTCTGTATAAGAATTTTCTTTTGTTCCTATTACATGATGGATGCAAATTCCATTAATTAATAGTCTGTTTGGTAAGGTGATTTACTCTGAAAAAAAATAAATAAGATTATTTGATTTGATATGTAAGGGAAAAAAAGTTAGATGAGTTTTTTATATTAGAATTAAAAAAAGAAGAAGAGAGGGTTTTTTATTAAATGAAAAATCGATTACTCCTTTTTTTTATTTTTTTGAAATAATCCTTTTTATTTTTTCTTGTAATACCAAACATAGCCATGTAAATAGGGATGCACAGGAAGAGAAGAGGTCAGATATGCCATGCTTTTGGGATCATTGCAATAATTGAAGTCATGCAGGCTTTAATGATAGGCAGCTGAGAGAAGAGAGAGGATGCGTGAACTATTGGGTAGGATCCTCTTTCAGAAAAGGAACATGCCATGAAGTGGAGAAAAACTTTAATTTATCATGACCACTAAATTGGGTGCATTATTTTATTAAAAATGGTTTTTTTTTTATTTCTCTTAGCACGTACAATTTTGGAAGACCATTAAATCTCTCCTAAACGAAAATATTTAATATGGTTCAGATCATTGAATTTTTTGATACTCTCTCTCACATCATTAATTTTGGTACTCCCGATTCACTCTAAATAATCTCCTCATAAAGATGATCCTGGAAAAGATTGAATATATGCTCTCTTCCTCACCTGCACAACTCTCATGCACTAATTCAACTATCATCATTTAGGGGTGTTCATCAACCGATCCAAACCGCGATAACCGAACCGAAAATCGAAAAACCGAGAATCGAATAAAAACTGCAAATTTTAATTGGATTGGATCGGTTTTCGGATGGGTTGATGAAAACCGATCCAATATATTAATTCCCCTCTACCTACTTGGGTCTTTCCTCCCATCATAGCTCAAAATTTTTTAAACTCAAGACCTATTAACCCATCAACTAAACCCAAGAAAAAACCTAGTCACATCTCATTAACAAAAATTTATTTGTGTAAAGCTTCATATCTCATTGCCCAAAAAAAAACTATATTATCATTTACTTTTCTGTTTAATTTTTTTTTTTACAAAGCCTATTATACAAAAAATGTTATTTGCACAATAACCATAAAACAAATTTTAAGATTTTCAAAAAATTGAAAACCGATCCAATCCAAACCGAAAAAAATTGGATTGGATCGGATCGGATTTGAAAAAAAATCCAAACCGAATGGATGATGGCATGATCAAACCGAAGAGATTGGATCGGATGATTTTTTCTTCCAAAACCGATCCAATCCAGACCGCGAACACCCCTATCATCATTTGCTTGAAAAAGACAACTTTAACTTAAGTAATTATTTTAATATTTAAGAGTGTAATACTATATATATATATATATATATATATATATATATATATGAGGTAGGATCATTTGACACCAGTGTCAAATTTGAAACTTGACATCTCATCTGAGAGCCATTAGATAAAAAAAGATCAACAACTCTGATTTATAAGCATGTGATACCATTGATCTTTTTTTATCTAATGGCTCTCAGATGAGGTGCCAAATTTAAAATTTAACACTGGTGTCAGAGGATCTACTTCTATATGTATATGTATATATATATTCTAAGGGGTTTGCTTTCGTCATTTAACATGATCACAAAACATTTCCTACACACATAACATTTTGTGGGACCCACATGTTTTGAAGGAAAAAAACTACGGCACGCAAAACGAATCTCTATAACATAACACAATCATTTTTTCCTACAACATAACTCTTATAAAACCCATATTCTAATTATCTCACGCACTAATTTTTTTTTTTTGGAAACATATCCTAATTATATCTTTGGGACGAGAAGACTCCACCCGGTATCCCAACAAGCTTCAACTTTTTGAACCAGTTATGGGATAATCCAGAGTACGGGGCAGGTTAGGGGATAAAGATTCTAAGCTCCTTCCAAAAGTGGCATGTGAGAATCGCGAATCGAAACTCTTTTCTTTTCACTGCTCAGCTCATATGCACCAACTGAACTACTACCATTTGATATTATCTTACTGACTATTGTACTAAAGAAATATTGAGTTGTTTGAGGGTTTACGGATGAGTTGTAATATAAAAGTTAATCAATGAGGCAATATATGGACTATAGTTCGATGATGGAGTTATTGTGTAAGTCTAAAAAAAATGCTGAGAATCAAAAAGAGTTTAAGGACACGGTGGAGACTGAAATCCTATGGAATAACATCAATGGAGTGCTGTATGTAGAAGATGAGTTTATTACGGAGTAATGACTAATGAGGTATTTATAAAGAAAGCGGTCCCATGTGTGAGAGTCATGCTTAAGCATAACTATTTTGCTCTATAATTCTCACTGCCTCACACCTTTACATACGTGTGTGAAGCGTGTGTATGGTAGTGAAAAATAATGTGAAGCGTGTGTATGGTAGTGAAAAATAATGTGTGGTGAGAAAGTTTGGTGGTGGTGGAGATACTTAACCCCTGAATTTGGCCTAATGATTGATCCATAACAGACATAAAGCATGCGGCATGCAGCTAGAAATTTTCTTCAATTTGTTTTTTTTTTTTGTAAGCGAATTTTTCTTTAATTTTATTACGAAGTATGAACTATGGTGATCACTTATTTTAAAGGAAAACTTTCTCCATAATATATAACAATTTCTCGTATTAAAAATAATATGCTGCTGCAAGCATGCTGATGCTTTAATATTTCTTGTTTAACGCTACCAATTTTAACTAATTTTTTTATTAAATTAATTAGCATAAGTAGTCATAATCATGCTCTTTTCTCATGTGGTTATGATATGAATTAATAATATTTTTTT